AAGAAGTACACCACAATTAACACTCATAATAAGGGACTTTACCAATATAATCGCTTACCTTTTGGCATATCCTCGGCTCCAGGTATATTCGAGCGGACACTAGAGAACTTACTTCAAGGTATTTCAAGTGTCATTGTGCGAGTTGATGATATTCTTGTAGGCGGTAAAGACGATGCAGATCACCTATCCAATTTGAATGCAGTGTTGACGCGACTGTCTGGAGCGCGCCTAAGATTGAAGAAGATCAAATGTTGTTTCATGGCATCAGACGTGACATATTGTGGCTATGGGATAAACAAGAACGGAATCCATCCGGTGGTTGAAAAAGTCAAAGCCATCGCTAAAGCACCAGAGCCAGAGAACATTAACAATTACGATCATTTCTTGGAATGCTAAACTACTATCACAGATTCTTACCAAATGTGGCAACGATCCTAGAGCCACTACACAGACTACTACGACAGGGAACCAAGTGGGAGTGGGGAGAAGAGCAAAAGGCGGCATTTGACTATGCAAAAGAGCTCCTACAATCAGCTGACTTACTCATCCATTTTGATCCGACCAAGCCGTTAATCTTAGCGACAGATGCATCGAATTACGGAGTTGGGGCCGTTTTGTCACATGTATTTCCTGATGGGACAGAAAAACCGATAGCGTATGCCTCAAGGTCTTTAAACGCAGCTGAGCGAAATTATTCGACAATCGAAAAGGAAGCATTGGCCACGATTTTCGGCGTTAAGAAGTTTCACAAATTTCTCTACGGACAGTCATTTACCATCAAAACAGACCATAAGCCATTAGAAGGGTTACTCAACGACAAAAAAGGAGTCCCCACTCAGGCAGCACCACGAATTCAACGATGGGCCCTCACACTAGCAGCATACGAGTACAAGATACAATATAAAGCCGGAAAAACAATGGGAACGCAGATGCATTGAGTAGACTACCCCTACCAAAGATGCCACTGTCAACGCCACAGCCAGGTGAAACAATCCTCCTGATGGAACATTTGGAGAAAACACCAGTCAACAGCAATCAGATAAGAGAGTGGACCAAACGAGATCCAGTTATGTCAAAAGTCCTTCGTTTCACAATGCAAGGTTGGCCAGAGTCCTATGATTCCACAACATTTAAATCTTACCACAACAAAAAGTTTGAGTTAAGTGTGGAGGATGGCTGTTTGCTCTGGGGTACGAGAGTTATTATTCCACCCCCAGGGCGATCAAAGATCTTAACGGAGCTGCATGAAGCACATCCAGGGGTTTCCCGCATGAAAGCCCTCACAAGAAGCTATGTGTGGTGGCCTACTCTTGATGAAGATATTGAGAGGGAAGTGAAGAATTGCAATCAGTGTCAACTGCATCATACAACTCCAGCTGCTGCACCACTTCATCCATGGGAGTGGCCAGGACATCCCTGGACACGGCTTCATATTGATTATGCAGGACCATTCAAAGGTGAAATGTTTCTGGTAGTGGTTGATGCATATTCTAAGTGGCTAGAAGTTCACCAGATGACATTCACTACGTCTACAGCAACCATTGAGAAACTACGCGAGATTTTTGCCACACATGGGCTACCGACAACAGTTGTCAGTGACAATGGAACAAATTTCACGAGCAATGAATTTGAAGAATTTATGAAGCGAAATGGTATTAAACACATTAAAGTTTCACCATACCACCCAGCATCAAATGGGCAAGCAGAGCGTGCAGTGAGAATTTTTAAAGAGGGCATTGAGAAGATGAAGGAAGGAAGTATGAGAACAAAATTATCGCGATTCCTTCTGAAATACCGTATTACACCCCATACGACAACGGGTGTGCCGCCAGCGGAGCTGTTGATGGGCAGACACCTGCGTACTCAGTTGGATCTGATACAGCCAAACCTTGGAGATCGGGTGAGGGAAAAACAATCACAGCAAAAGGCAGTACATGACTATCATGCTAGAGAACGGATTATCAAAACCGGGAACCTAGTATATGCGAAAGATTTCAGGAAACCTAAAAGTTGGATGCCCGAGACGGCAGTGAAGAAGACAGGACCAGTGTCGGCAGAAGTACAGCTTGATAATTATTCGGCGTCACCAAGATCATCTCCGCATTCGCACTGATGTTCCTCAAACAACTATAGCGAGTGGATTGGAAAACATTCAACTACCAACCAGGGAGGTGAATCCTGCAGAACCATGGGAAGAACCCGAACTGGAAGCGAGAGCAGAACAAAGAAGACAACCCCATAGAGACCGTCGTCTTCCTCAACATTTGCAGGACTATGAACTAGCAAACAGCTAAGTTGAACTGGTTATAAACCATTATTTAATATGACATTTAGTTAAAGTTGACATTCTATTTTTGTTAGATACAGAGTAGTTCAGATTATTGGACACTGGGAAGGGAGGAGTGTAGTATCCCAGAATCCTTTGGGGGTTCGGGCCATTGTGTACTGAGACACAGAACTGGGTGGTTATAACAGTGCCTTTTACTTCAGTCCTTATAGACTCCTCCCTAATACAGACACTTTGTTGTGCCACTCCAATGTTCATTCAAAGTGATCCAACTGACATCTGAGCTGGTGATAATATACAGCAAAGTATTGGAACTTGGAGTATATCAGATAAGTTCATTCAGTGAAGACCTTGAGGTTGTGCTGATCATCATATAAAACTCCATTACATATTGTGCCTTAAAAACATATATACAAATTTTAAAAGTTGTTGCAGCACACTGGGCCATTCCATCTAATATAGCCCCTTCCACACACACCCTAGAGAGGGGTCTCTTTATAATACCTTAAAAAATTTGGAACCTCATGGGATACATTTTTGGAACCCCCATGCATATCTTTCTACCCTTTTAGGATATTGTTCCTGCCCCTTTGGATATCACTAAAACACCTAATTTTTAGGAAATCTTTTAGAAAAATTAAGGTAACCCCCCCTTCTCCCCCATAGGATATCCAGACCTCAATAGGGGGCTATTAAATGGAATGGCCCATTTGACTTGGTGAGTGATGACTACCACCAAAGCAAAATGGAAGCATGCTGCCCCGCTTTACATAGAAATCAGAATTAATTTTGAAGCATTTCTGCTGTTACTTGTAACGATAATCAAAATTGATGAGAAAATATGGAGTCTTTCTGTATGACTGTATGTTAGTGATGTGATCTCACTGTTCATTATAAAGCTGAAATTGTTTGAAACTCGTGTGAAAATAAATTCAATATAAATGTACAGTACATACCTTGATATACAGAACAATCAATCAATATCATTTCACATTCCAGGCAATACTATCAGTGTTTATTTAGTCGCATTTGAAGCCGAATAGCATCTGATATATACGAGGGTTGCACAAAACGATGTCACAAATATGAGCGCCATACTCCGACAAACTGATACAATATGATGATGAATGTTGCATAGTTTTGTGTACATGTGTGTTCACAGCTTATATCTGAAGTATTTTTCGTAAAATTTGTTAAAACTTTGAGAATAAATACATAAACACTCAACAATACATGTATATTTTTAAGCAAGAAAATCGTAAGCGCCAGCGCTAATTGTAGTCAGCAACATAACGTTGTCGTTACTGCGCATGCGATAAATCTCCAAGAATCTTGGAGATTTGATCGTATTTTACCAGGGTCTTCCTCAGCTCGCGCGCCACCACGAGGAAGACCCTGGGGACAAGGTTGTCAGTAATACTATTTATGTTTTGTCGGCCATCTTGTTGTCATTCGTGTTGTCCCGCGTGATCTACGCGAATAATGTTCCATCCCATGTTCCCCGGAGAATGGAGGAATGAGGGTCTTCCCACAATGCATTGCGTCTCATTATTCACAATTACGCTTTTTGGCAAACGTTAACAAAAAAGTTGTTGAAATATATTGCGATTTTTGGCTCTGAAGATCTCGTTTTTTCTAAGGTATGTGATGATAATTGTTTTGTTTGGACATCTAATTAAACAGTTCTATACTTTCTTGGTATAGATATTGCTTTTTAGTTATGCTAATTACGCATTGTATTTATGCTTGTTTCGGGTCAATGGACACGCCAAAAAATTGCTTTGAAATAACGCACGAGCGAACTACCTTTTTTAATGAGAAAAGTAAAAAAAAGACACGTCATCAAATTCAGGAAGAATTGCTCTTTCTGTTGGTTCTTTAAAACGCTAAATCGCTCCTCCAAATCGACAAGCAATCGCGGTTTGAAAATGGGGTATTTTTGCTATATTTTAATGCCGATGGCGGGAATAGACCGGGTGTTGATCCTTATGGCGCGAAGGAAACTATTTTCTATGATATCTTTGAAACATACGCATGTAGTTGTTACATATTTTGAGTGTATTAAATGTTACCTTTAAAATTAAGGTCAGAATGCTAGTTTACTGTATTGACTGTATTTTTGTCATTTTGTTATAGAATTCGGACATGAAATCATGCAGATAGTCATTGTTGACGAATGAAATGATACTGCCATATTAAAAGGGAGTATATACGAGGGTATATACGTCTAAAGGTGATACCCCAGGGAAACCTAATAATAAGAGACACAGAATTTCACGTTTGAAGAATTCAACATCAAGTCGAACTTTGTTTCAGAGTCCTGGAACATCACCAACGGTATAAAAGTACAAAGGTTTTTACAAACATAAAATACAGTACGACTGTACAAAAACATTGTATTTTAAACCCTTTAAGTGGTAATGCGCCCTGATGCATCCTACTTAATTTAGTATTTTACTCTGTCTAATGCCAGACGATTTTACTCCTCAAGTGGAGAGTGCTGCCACTCAATGGGTTAATGAGACAATGATCTGTTAATGGGGGGGGGGGAGGCTAAAAGTTATTATTATAGTAACAGTAACATTGTATTTTAATGCTTTTTGCCTGTGAGAATTTCTGTCCATAGGCGTACAAGGCTGGGGGTTGCAACCCTCCAGTCAGTGTTCAGTTGGGCAGAATTCTGCTTTAAAAATTGGGCAATTGTTTTAAGATTGACTTCAAACAGTATTTCTGCAAGTCTGCATAGGAGTTATGTTCCTTCTATTTTATACTTCTTGTTCATCAATCAATAAACTCATGACAATGTCAGGCAATTTCTGTCCACCCGTACGCCAATGATATTTTTCAATGCTGGGAGTAGCATTTCAGAAAACCTATAGTGCACAAATTTCCTGGAGAAGCATGCTCACAATCCTGGTAAAAATCCATCATGAGTTTCTTTGTTGTTGTCTATAATGGTGCTGGCATTGACATTGCCCCGCTCACTTTTACTGTTTGCTTTGTAGTTTCCTATAACAAAGATTAAACCGACTCTTCCAAAGAAATCCCCAGTAAAACTTCATAAATGGACATTTGAGGAAGATAAAGCATTCATTGAATTCATATCTGTTGCAGAAAATCATGCAAATGATTGCAATCGAAGAGGTTTACCAATTATGTAATACCTCTAGATTGTTTTAATACATCATCAAACTCTACTATTCATGTGTACTGGTGAAATGAATGTAATGCAACATTTTAAAAACTTCTCTTTATTTGTGCGCATAAAATGTTTCCTAAAACCATTTTAATTATCTTTAAGTACAGTAATATTATGTTAACATTTTTTCGATTTTAAAATAAATAAATTTTATAAACATCAATTATGTAGTGTGTGATCTTTTTACTAATTTGTGATGAGCAAGGAAAGACTATACACTGAATATTGTGAAAACCATACATACCATAAACCTCGGAATATAAGCCCCCCCCGTGTATAAGCCCCTCTTGTGTAAGCCCATTGCTTACAAAAGAATATAAGCCCAGTGCTTATAGTTGGAGGTTTACGGTAGATTGTCAAAAAACTGCAGAACTGATAAGATGGTGTCCATGGGATACAATACTTATGGTAAATCAGGGAAGTGACAAAAACGCATGCAGTACAGGAAAACCGGGGTGGGGCCAAGACTGTACCATATACTAGAAGCTCCCCAGATCTATCCTTACAAATAAAAGAAATAGCAGTATTATGTATACACCAGGCACCAATAAACAATTTTGCAGCTTCTGCTAAACATTTTGTTTCAGTGTTTTTGAACCCATTGAGTACTAGTATTTGAGTGTCAGCACTCTCCCTCTGATGAGTAAATAGTCTAGTGTTAGACAGTAAAATAATCTGGCGTTAGGCAGAGCAAAATAATAGACAACTGGTTGATCATTTGAACATAGATAACTGGTTGATCAGTATAAATCCTTGCAATTCATCACACAGTAGTCAATAGATTTATATATAGTCAAGTGTTGTGATACTAGTGCTGAATCTCCTCCACTTCATGCTCACCTCCTTCCCGTGGATCATTAGGGTCGAAGAACTACATGATATGAAATAAAAATACGTTTGATACTGCTGTATTACAACATAGGAGCATATTTCTATTTCTATTTTTATTTAATATAAAAAATCGTCTCACCTTAAAAACACAACTAGAGTGAATTTGTACCAGTTCAGGGCTACCGCAATCAGCGAACAATTTCATCAATTTTTATCCCGTTAACCACAGCTGGACAAAGGACTATTCTTCAAACTATCCGTAGAACTATAAACATGAATCTCACGACATTCAAGTTCATCACACGGTAATCCTTCCGAAATAAAGATTAAAGGCTGTTTTGACACACAGTGAACACACCTCAGAACACACAGAAGCTTGTGTCCACCCAAAAACTAAGCTTTCTTTCCATGCATAGCGCAAAAATTCACCATTTTACAATTTGTTTTCTGTAAATCTTCTCTAACTTGAAACATCGAGGTGTAAACACAGCGAAAGCCGATCGAACAATGACGGTGCAGAGCGAGAAATCGATAATATGTAAAAAACCGCGCCTGACCGCGTTGCATGCCGGTATAGTCCTCACTCCTCCTCTGGGGTGGAACATTGTCAAACGGAACGCAGTGTCGCTAATTGATGACGTAAGGCGTGATATCACGATTAATTTCATGCTCACGTGACACAAACTAAGCTTCCTGATTGGACAATATGAATTTGAGGTATAATATCATCACAAAGTTAGATATAAAATAGAATCTTCTAATCTTCGTAGTAAAATAGAATCTTCTATCAGAGTCA